CATCCCTTATGTCTTCCTCAGCAACAATGCAGTATTAAGATGACGTTTCCCCCTTTCCTTTGGTGTCTTACACGGCCATTCATCTCCTGCTTGGCACTGAAAGGCTGGATTGTGTTTTCTCTATTCCAGTACATCCCATCACCCTGACAGAGGGCAGGATGAGGGTGTATTCACTCAGGCATTCCCCCTTGTGTTGCTCCATGGACACCAGTTAATGACCGCAGCTGGGGGAACAAGGAGTTGGGGTGCTATGCTCAGTTCACTGAGGATCTGTTTATACCTGAAAGATGACCAGGTATTCAGGTGAATTGGTAAGTGGTTGGTTACCAGGTAAATAAATCTTTAACTGGTCCTAGGTTCTTGTAGTGGGTGGAAAAGTAGGGCCAACCAATGGAATTTCAGTCGTGACCATTGCCATTTTCTAAAAGGAAATATTTACCCTAAAACTAGCCCAGACTTAGGTTTCTCCATCTTAGTGTGAGTTGTATCCCTAAAGTAGGGGTCAGTAAACTATGGTTCCAGGCCAATTCTAACCTGACACCTATTTTTATAAAATAAGTTTTAATGGAAGACACTTTCTGCACCCAGCCATTTATATGTCTATGGCTGCCTTCATACTCAAGTTGAATAGCTGCACCAGAGACCAGATGACCCATCATCAGATTTTTACACAAAGAAGTTTACTAACTTCTGTCTGATAAAATTAATTTTTCTTTCTTCTATGAAAAAGCACTTAAATGCATAGCTCCATGCCCAGCTTCATAGCTCCCCTAGTCACTGAAAGCTTTCAGTAGTGATCAGAGAATGCCAATCAGATAGGCTTTGTTCCTTTTGAATTACCTTGAGATTATGGAATACCATTCTCGTTTTGAAATTGTTTTTGCAGAACACTGGGCGGGGGTGGGGGGGGGCAAAGGGATTTCTTCCTTTGTATAGATTCTCTATTGCTTCGATGTCTAAAGTCAAGAACCTAAAGCTCCCCCCTCCACTGGATGACTGCCAGCATCTCTGGCTGAACTTTGACCTGTTGTGCCTTGGAATTACTGGGTTATCTTGGGTGAAAAAAGGAGGGACATTTGGTCCTGTGCGCTACAGTTTCATGATATGTGCATTTAAAACCAAATAGGGGGCCTCCCCAGTGGCGCAGCGGTTGAGCGCTGGGTTGCGAAGCTGCCCGCGGCCTCTGCGGCGCCGGTTCGATCCCCGGCTGCTTCCCGGCCACCGGCGGAGGATCCCACATGGCGCGCAGACCTCTCCTGCCGCCCGCTGCTCCCCTCAGCAGTGTACTTCGGTCCTTCTGCCTGCTCTGCTCCCCGCTCTGGCTCTGGTGAATTCTCTCACCCTCCCGCGCTTCTGACTGTACCCAGTGCATGTATAAACAAAACAAACAAACAAACAAAATAAATAAATAAAACATGCCTCTATAAAAAAAAAAAATAAAATAAAACCAAATAGGGAAATCAGTCATTAGGGAGATTACAATCAGAACTACCAAGAAGTATTAACTCACATCCACTAAGATGACTAAAATAAAAGGATGTAATATAAGTGTTGGTGAGGATGGGGAGAAACCGAAACACTAATATATTGCTGATAGGAATGTAAACTCATGTGGCTAGTTTTTGGAAAACAGTTTGGCATTTCCTCAAACCTGTAAATGTATTTACCTCTGACTCAGCCATTGGACTCCCAGGTTTATATCCAAAAGAACTGAAAACATATGTTTGTACAAAAACTTGATCATGAATGTAATTAGCAGCATTCTTTAACAGCCAAGAAGTGATAAAAATTCAAATGTCTATCAATTAAATGGATAAACAAAATGTGGCACAGCTATACAGTGCTATGTTATTTGACCACAAATGGAAGGAAATTCTGATACATGACTGAATGCAGATAAACCCTGAAAATACATGCCAACTGAAAGATGGCAGAAAGCTGTATAGTGCATGATTTTTTATATGAAATACCTAGAAAAGGAATATTCCCAGAGAAAGTTCACTAATGCTGCCTGGGGCTGGGAAGAAGGGAGGAAGAAGGAAATAATGACCACTAGTGGGTATGAAATGACTTTTTGGGGAGTGATAAAAATGTTCCAGAAGTAGATAGTGAGGATTGTACAATTTGGTGACTATGCTAAAAGCCATTGAAGTGTATACTTTAAAGGAATGAATTTAATGGATTGTGAATTAAATCTCAGCAAAGTTGTTATTAAAACAAAAACAAGTACAGATACCACTAAGCAATAAAAAGGAATGAGTACAATGTGGATAAATCTTAACCCTACAGAGATATGTTCACATGCTCACTAAAAGGTATGTTCAAGAATAATTGTGAAAATTTGGACATAATCACATTCCACTTATATTAAAATGGGTAAATAAATTCCGGTATAGTCACACTAGATGTGTGGTATATATACACAATGGAATACTTCTTAGCCATCAAAAAAGATAAATGCGTACCGTGCCATTTGTGGTAATGCGGATGGAGCTGGGAGAGATTATGCTGAATGAAATAAATCATAAGGAAGAAGAAATATATTAGATGGTTTCACTTAAATGTTGAATACAGGGGAAGTGAACAAAGGGTCAGGAAATAGACAAAACCCACAAACTGACAATAGATCTAAGGCATATAGCAGGGGAGAAAGACGGAGATGAGGTCAAAACAGGGCAGGGAAAAGCATAAGGGTCGGGGGAGATGAATCACGGGTGCTGTGGTGGTGGTAACCCATGGGGACTATAACTGAGGGGGGAAATCAAATGTTGCCCAACAATTACCAAAGATGTAAGAAAATGAATTTAATAAAAGTAAAAAAAAAAAAAAAAGAAATTCAACAAGAATAAACCATTACTACAGGCAACATCACAGATGACTTTGAATACCAGTCTAGAGCAGAAGTCAGACGTGAAAGAGAATATACTGGGGGATTCCACTTACGCGAAAGTTACACAGGCAAAGCTCATTTACAGTCTTGGTTCCCCTTAGAATGAAGGAGCTCTTGGGAACTATGACATCAGTCTCTCAATCTGGGTGTTTGTTACTCAAGTGTATTCAGTGCGTAAACATTCATCAAGTCATGTGTCATTGTGCGGACACTTTTCTGCTGTCACACCATCAATATGTTTTAAAAATCAAATAGGATTGTGTACATACGTCTCTGTCTCTAGAAAGATCCTAAAGCACTTTCATATTCACACATCTTCAGAGTCACCAATGGATATAACTGAAATAAAACTTAAGGAAGAATGGAGTCCCTACATTAAAGGATGGGTTCCTGCTATGCTCAAATTCAGAGAAAGCCCACTCAGTGGGACAGCTGCTCATTTGGACAACTTAATGTAAAGGAAACCATCTTCTACAACTTTCTTCGGTAATAAGGGCCATGCACTCTCCGCACAGCTAACCTATTGTGTGTTCAACCCATCTTTTAGGAGAGAACTTTGTAACTCAGCCATTGGAGGTACCAGATCCTACATTGACTTGTGACATAAATTCCTCACCCCCACACTTCCTCGGCATTCACCTCTCACAAACAGTCAATCCCTAAGAGACCTCCTTTTCCCAAGCATGGTCTCGCCAAGGAATGCTTTCAAGTTACATTGTTTGCTTTATTTTTAGCTTAGTTCAAAAAAAGTAGCCCAAGTGAGGTTTTCCAGGCCAGCACAACCTAAGACATTTTACAGGTTTGTGAGCTTCTTAATCCTTCCATTGTTCCCAGCTGACAAATGATTCCCTTGATAAAGTGTCAGCCCCTAATTATTAGAATCTTGCATTTCTTCATGGAATCCTGCCAGACTAGCTTCTCCAAACCATTCTCAAACAAAATCACGCAGACAGGAAGGAAATGATCATATGCTTTAACTCCTCTTTCTTTTAATTCCTTTCAGATAAATGAACCTGGAAAACGGGTTCATCTGTATCATCACTGCACATGTCTGTAAAGTTATTTGTGGAATATAATCTCACTCCCTCTGTTCCTACAAAGGTTACATACCAGTAAACCGGCCCTTTTAGCCAGAGTGGGGGTGCTCTAAGAACAACACCTCCCAAACAATTTATCACTTAATTACTAAAGTCTACAACAGGTGTGGATAAATGATGTAAGTCTTCCCATAATGCCCAAATTAATAATTTCGAAGGAGAGCATCAGTTTGGGAAAGATCATTTTTTCATACCCTAAGAAAATTTATTCTTATTCCTTCCCCCCTTCCAGATACTGGGACTTTAAGCAGTCTTATTCCTCCCTCTAAGTGTTTCCCTTATCTCTAAGCCACAGTTATGGCAAATCACAGAGCTTGAAGGTTGTTGGACTTTGAGGGTAGAATTAGACTTTATAGTTTCCTGGGAGGGAAATCCATATTCATTTAACATGAAAAAGTAGAAATGGGAAAGATTGTAAACTCATGTTTATTAAACATAGGAATTAAACTATTAAATAATAGTTTTAAAAGGTCATGTGATGTCTAGTGGGGGTGGAGTTCTTGTCTGGTGTGGATGTTAGTGAAACCACCACATGTTGGGGTGCTGGAAACAAATCAAAGGATCTGGTTTGAGTCAGCAACAAACTCTTAATTGCAACAGGGAAACAGTAAGATATCGAGCGGTAATATACATGTGAGGAGGTGTCAATCTCTACCCCTAAATCATATGCAAGGCTGCAAACCAATGTCACCTCAATAAAAGATACATTATAAAAGAATTCCTCAGTAAAAGAATTTCTTGAGACACTAACTAGTAGCATTAATGCTACAAGTAGAAAGCAGAGAATGAGTGATAATATTACTAGTCAAGAGGACAATTTTGAATTTATCTATTTAACTGAAATTATTCTCACATCTGCTTCTATTTATCATCCACACAAGTCTCTCTTAGCAGAGAAACATATGCTCTTAACACCAAATTCTAATTTGTGGCAGCTTTGGAGCTCCTTTTAATTTAAAGTAATTTATGACAAGGAATCGTCCTCGCGACAAGGGCACTTAATCCAAATCTACCTTTAGAGGCTTCTGTCCCCAGTGGGTTTTCTAAGAAGTCTGACATGTCGTGGTTCCAGGCATCGTGGACAGCCGACTTGGACACCACCCTGTCATTCAGACGCTGCTGTGGTCGAAAGTTATTTCTCAGGTACTCCACCGACTTGACATGGTCTTGCTGTTCCGTGGTGAAGATGGAATAAAAAGCCTCGAGCTGGAGAGATGGGGGAGAAAAAAAAAGAGCATGGATCAGAAAAGTGGTGTGGTTCAAAGCAAGCAGGGAAGACAACACAAAATGGTAGGAAGTGGCGGGTGCCAAGTCTGATGAAACCAGCAAGGCATTGGCGGCCCATGGGAATCGCTGCCGATGGGCTTTTCCTGCTGTGGTTTCTGTCCTGCCAACTAGCCAGGAAAACACTTCATTTGAGGGCTGTACAGAGCTCTTTCAGTCTGTGTCTCAGACAAGCATCCCAGTCTTTCTGTAGTGTCTCCCTGGCAAGACCGTAAGTATCATGGGAAGGGACACAGAGTTATGGTTAAGTTGTAGGTCCTGAAGCCAGATTGCCTGGGTGGGAATTCTAACTTCATCACTCAACCATTCTGTGACTCTGAAAAAGTTGTGTAACTTTTGTGAGCCTCAATTCTTCCTCTGTAAAATAGTGATGATTAGGGTTGTGTCAGCATTAAATGAGATAATCCATATACACTGATGGCTTAAAATAGTTCCTGGCACATACACGCTCACTGTTAGTGATTTAATTCTTACTAAGTACATTCTTACATACTAGGGGTCCAGTTTAGCAAAGCTGCTAAGTCACACAGTTGCTCAATGCAGGGCTTATAAGTTAAACTGCTCAAGATGAGCATTTACCAGGTTATTTAAGCTTTCTGTAACTCAAAAAGTCTGCATGCATTACCCAGTAAGCCCTCAGTAAAGATTAGCTGCTATCATTAGTACTATTAAGAAACATTTTCCAGGCCTCCCTGGTGGCTCAAGGGGTTAAGCACAGCACTGTGAAGCTATCCTCAGCTTCTGCAGCACGAGTTCCATCCCCAGCTGGCCAGGGAGCTACCTACATGGCACAACAGATCTCTCCTGTCTCACCCACTGCTCCCCTCAACAGTGTATTTCATTCAGTCTGCCTGTTCTGTTCCCCACTCTGTCTCTGGTGAATCCCCTCACCCCCGCACCTCTGGCCTGTACCCCAATTCTTGCATGCATAAATAAATAAATCTTAAAAAAAAAAGAAAGAAACATTTTCCATAAGATGGTGAGCAAGTAGTATGGAGAAGCAAAGTTAAAAACCAGGACTCCAGCATGATATTTTCATTACCAAAAAGGATTTGGTGTCACTCAACATTCTCCTCGCTTTTTAAAAGACATTCTATTATATAAGAGAAATGGAGCAGGGACTGGGTGGCAGATATTTGTTCTCAATGGACCACAAAGGTAGTTTTGTTATCCCCAAAATGCTAATTTCTTCTGAGGTAGGGGAAGAAAGTAGACTGAAGAAGAGAGAAACTGAATGTACTCTTTCTGGCCCATTTGACTCTCGGACACCTAATCAGTATGCATTCTGTGGGAGAGAATGACAAAGTGGGATGTTTAAAGGATGCTTTCTAAATGGGCATTGAGTGGTGCTCTAGACTTTGGGGGACCAGAAGGCAGCTAACACCATTGTGTAAAGCAAAAAGGAGAATTACTACCGGATTTCCAGATGGTCATCTGAAGGCTAGAAATGCCGCCAGTATTTCTCAAACAGCCACAGAAAATGACCTCCTTCCAGTCTGAAAGCCCCTTTCTTTGCACGATAAAGCTATGAATTTATATAGTGATTTTGTCCAAGAAAAATAATTTAAGTATATGGATTCACCTCTCATTCCATCTCTCCTCCAATTCGCCTGCATGTGTAAAGCGATAATGGACCACGTAAACTTCTCATTTTTCATCAAGGTCATACAACCAGAGGATCTCTCAACCAGCCTAAAAGCAAAAGTAGCCCCTTAACCCCATGTGATTCTACTTCTCTACAACTCTCCGACCTGCGAACTTCTCCTGTAAGAAGTCTGTTGGTTACTATTTAGAATTTTCCTTTCTTCCTTTTCTTTCTGATGTTCCTTTGTGATTGAGAGTAAAGGGAGAAAGGCAATAAAAGCAGAAAAATTAAGAAAATTGGACTTTTTATGTTTGATTATTACCCATTCAGATGAAGAGAATGGAAAATGTTGCAAAGAAAAATCATGTCAACCTCACCACGTGTGCTCACCTGACAACACTACCCAAATCAGAACTCAATACATCCAAAAATGAGAGATTTCTGATTTTCTTAGAAAACACTGCTTCTTAAAAGTATATGAGAGGAATTAACAAAGACCTTCTGGAGACAGTCTATGGAAAGACTGCCCAAAAGGATCAAAGGGATGGAGGAAACCTGTGTAGAAAGGGTAAAGGAAGTGGCACTGTTACCCCACAGAAAAGAGTAAAAGTGATCTGATTAAAGGCCCTGGAAGACACTGACCAGCTCTCCTCCATGTCCAGAGAAGGCCAACTAGGAGGAAACTGGTTTAAATTAAAGCCTTAGGAATGTGAGTTGAATAGAGGGAGGAGTTTTTAACTTTCAGGGAGTTTTTAAAAAACGAACCGGGCCGCCATCATCCATAGCAAATTAGACCAGACATTTTCTGGAAGAGACGCCATCTGTCCTGAAATCATTTAATCTCTGAGATGCCAGAAAAGGATGGCCTGGGAGACCATCTCAGCGATATTACTCTAAGGTTTGTTTGTTCTGTAGAATACTTGCTTCTTTCACAGCTAGCATTTAGTTCTCCTAAAAAAGTTTATTTCTGATGCCTCTGGAAAGAATTAGTCATTTAGGAGCAAAAAAGAGGCAGGTTCTGAATTTAACACAAAAATGTTTGCGCTTAAATTGCTCTTACAGCTTAATGACAACTGTGGCTTAAAAGCTTGGTTGCTTCCCTGTCATTAATTCAACTTGCCCAAAGACTTTGACGGAAGGATGTGATGGTTTTGAGAGTGAACTGATGACCTGAATGATATTATATTGTCAACTGGATCATAGCTTGACTTGACAGTCACACAAACGAGAAAATGGAGAACAAACAGCAGACTCATCAAATATCCTCTGATACATTCACTAAAATCCTGTCTACACTAAGTTGAAGGAAAATTGCCAGTAGCCTCTTGGGGTGATAACTGGCATGCTTGTCCATTAAATAGAAACCTCCCACCAGCCCTACAGGGATTGGCGAGGGGAGTCTGAGTTTTTCACTTGGGCAGGTAAGGAGAGATCTCCGGTAGAAACCTACTTGATACATAATTGTTACACAGCTAAGTCAGGCTGCTTCTGGTCCTTACCCATGCTTCCTAACTACACTCACTTAAAGTGAACTTGACCACTACCAGAACCAACACTCCCCTGGATTCCAAGGGACACCATTTATAGAAGCTACAAAGAGAGTGAGCCCCCTAACAGTGTGCAACATTGCAGCCCTTTCTAATCCTGGAGTCACCAACAAACTACACAAATTTGTGTTCCTCTGGGTCTCTGACTGGTCCATCTGTTTGGTGCTTAATCTGTTGGACTCTTCTAGATTTTCTAAATCCACAATCACACAATGGATGTACCTGTGCTCATGTCCAGCCCTCTATTCAGTACTTTCCAACAACCTCCGATTGTTACCTTGGGGTCCCAATGATCTGTGCTGAATTCTCCAGCCTCAGAAGTCTTACTCTTAATACCTGGGTCCAAAACTCAAAACACTATTTTTAAACCTTCCTTGCTAAATATATGACCTCGGAGGGGGGCGGCGGGGAGGGGAGGGATTGGGGTCAAAATAAGGGGGTTGCAATTGTATGGGGAATATAAAAATAAAATTTATTTAAAAAAATAAATAAATATATGACCTCAGTCAAAATATTGAATGTTTGTGTGCTTCAGTATTCTTATTTGTACAATGGAGCCAACACCATTACCTACTTCATATTGTTACTATTAAATGAGTTACTCTGTATAAAGTGTTCAGAATTACTATGGTTCCTGGTACACAGTAGGTGCTTAATAAGTATCATTATCATTACTATTTATGTAATTACTACTCCCCTATAAGGAATGCAGTAACTATGTATACTAAGCTTAGAGCAACTGTAGATGTTATCTCTGCTTCTCCCTATTTTTCTGCTTTATAGTGTATATTTATCAAAACCACTGTGTACCAGGTATTTTGCTATATACTTTACAAACATATCGATTTTGAACTTAATTTTACTTTAAAACAGTAACACTAAGGTAACATCATTAATAACCCAGACATCATTAACTTCTGTAGCTAATATTTATAGGTTGCTGCACGCAAGGCATCGTGCTAAGAACATTATGTGCTGTTGAAAGGAGCAGGATATGTCACGCCCAAATATGAGACTTTGGCATATTATTTTGATCTAAAATTACTTGAAAATAGCTGGTACAGGAAGGGCACTCTGACTCTCCTTTGTCTCCTAAATCTCCTATCTGAAGGTATCCTCCCTGTACCAGGAGGGCAGAAGGTAGCTTATCACAGAGATAGGAAGTTTAGGGCCAAGATTTGTATAAACAAATCTTGTTATGTCTTCACTAACTTACTACCCCAAGCCCAAGCAACTTTGTCTTGTCAATTCTACAAATTTACTATTTCTTGGTCTGAAAGTTTCCATCTTTGATCATTTCTTTGACGGTCATATTTTAACGGGGTTCTCATACATATGAAATTACATTTGATTTCTTCTGTTATTTTGTCTTATGTCAACTTAATTATTAGGGGAAAAAATGTAGAAGGGAAAAATTTTCTACCCCTGCAGTTTCTTAATCTTCACAGAAATTCCACAAGGCAAGTGGTATTACCATATTAACACATTATTATTATTATTTATTATTATTATTTTCCTGGAGGAAACTGAGCTTAGAAACATTAAATAAATTGCTCAAGATCACACAGGAGCCCAGAGGACAAAGGAAGATGAGAAACCTAGGTGTGTATGACTGTTTTTCATGCCAAACACATAACAGTGCTCAGCTCAGTCACTGAAAGAGTAGCGCCGCTGTGGAGAAACTGGCTGTGGTGCCCAAAGTCCCCAAACAATTCCTTTCAGCTGACCCAAAGCCATTCCATGCAAGGTTCCACAACTGGCAACATCAATGTATTAGCATGTTTCTGTAT